CAATGGTCAAAACCTGCGAAACAAATAGATCTGAATATTAGATTAGTATAAAGAAAAAGCCACATGTCATGCAATGGTGGTTGTTGAAATAATAAAAATAAAAGAAATAGTATTGTTACAAATAAATAATTGAAGTAAATAAGTTTTAAAAAATATTTTAGAGTAATTATAGTAAAAATAAGTGTCTAGAATAATGATTTACTGGGAGTAAGTTCTGTAAATCTTAAAGGTATCAAATTTTATCATTGGATAAATTCTAGTGAATTTGATTCACCTATTGGATTGAGCCTTGTATTAGTATTTAGGGCTCCTTATATATAACAAAATTTAGATTTTGTAAATTTGAAATATAACAAAATGTTTAAACGATTATAATAATAGAAATTATTGATATCATTAAAACAATATGTGTAATTATATATTACAAAATATAAGATTACTATGATAATTGTTATATTATTTTTATAAAATTTTGAAAATTGTGTTAAATTACTACTCAATGTATCCATTTTTGCATGTAATTATCTCGAGTTTTTAGAGATGAGAAAAGTACATGGTTTATTATGGTTTTATAGAGGCGTATTATTTATTTAGTTCTAAATAATTAGATGTTATTGTGATCTTTTATGTTCTCTTTATTAATTGAATGACAATTGTTTATTTTTTTAATGGAGTGACATAAATAATATTTTTTACTATCATGGGTAATAATTCTGATTTTGACAAAAAAGACAAATACTCCATAAAGTACATTAGTTGAAATTTAACTTTTTACTCTTAATTAATATTATTTTTAGTTAAATAACTATATTAGTCAAAAATAATTAATTAAGAGTAACTGATAAAATCTCCAATGAGTGAGTTCAACAAGTTTTTACTATTAATTAATATTATTTCTAGTTAAATAACTATATTAGTTAAAAAGTGATTAATTAAAAGAAAAGGATAAAATCTCTAATGAGTGAGTTCAATAATTTTTTCTTTGAGTTTTTTCTTTTAGAGATTGAGTACTGCGGCCCAGCCCAACCCAAAATTAGGTTTGCACATCTAATATTGTGGGTCTAGATTCTATAACTCATGGATAATTTTGATAAATACTTATTAAAAATATATGAGTCGTGATTTTTATTTTTTATTCTTGATTCATAACATTAGTTAAATATTATACTAATAAAAATATATTTATTAAGAGTAAGAAGTAAAAACTACACTTATGTACTCTTAAAAGTAAATTCTGTAATTTTCTCGTAATTATTAGTGGACGTTTGGTTTATGAATTTAGAATTATGATTCAAAATCATTCTCATTTTATGTGTATTTTTTATAAAAAAAAAATACTATAATAAATTATGAATTATAATTTAAAATTATGTACGAATATAAAAAATAAATATCTCCTTATGTGCTAAACCGGTAATGCTCACTCATGGTGATAAACATCACTTTTGTAGCCGAAAAGGTTTCCATTTCACAGTTGACTTTCTTGCTGAGTTTCAATGAATGTGTTGTTGACTTTCTTATAGGATTTTTGTGGTTGACTTTCCTCGTTGGTTTTCAAGCAAAATAATTTACTTTTTTTTCCAAACAAAGAAAAAAAGTAAAATATAAAATATTATCAAGGTTCCATCTTTGTTATTGATTGTAACCTTTATTTGACAAATTTATAGATTTTTATCATTTGTTTTTGTTTATTACTGTCGTACAATAATATTCAGCAAAGTCGCAAAGTATCAAAGGTAGCCCAGACGTGTTCTAATGTAGTGTCAATTGTGATGATAGATAAAGTTTAAAAAGAAATTATCGAGCAAGATTGGCCAAGGTGGCCTGCCCTAATAAGTCAAACCCTTAAGTTTATCCAATCCGAGCCAAATTAAATCATACACTTTTTCTTTCCAAAAGTGTGTGTCTAAGTTTCAAAATTTTGTAAATATGAATTTTTCAAAAAATATATATATATTTAAGAAAAGACAGCTGGCTTGGCCAAGAAAATAATGTTGCCACGTAGTTCCTAATCCAACGTAAAATAAATCATTTACCCCGTCCCATTGTCCCATTGACATTCCTATTTGAGATCTAAAGTCATACCATAAACACATTAAAAGGTCAATCACATTAAGATTTTATGAATATTTGTATAGTAAGATCTGGGAAAAAAAAAATTTGTTTTCAAAAAAAAAGATCTGGAAAAAAAAATACTATTAACACTAAATAATAGTTTTAATATGCCCAATTAACAACAAAACTTAATTCTTTCAAAAAAAAAAATCCACTGCCCGTCCGATTTTTTTTTTTTTTAATTGTTTCGCACAGCAAAGTCTCACTTTACAATCACAAAACATGATGAAAACCAAGTTACCAACGGTGCAAGAACACCAACCCTCCTCAAAACGCAGAGCTGCTCTCTCTATCAATCTATCTACAAATTTTTGCAGAAGGAAATTTTACATTTTTTTATCCTCCATTTTGAGGTTACTGCGTTTTAAGTTGTTGTACTTTTATATCCTCAGCCCTCAGGTTGCCTACTTGTGTTCAATCTTACCTATCAATTGACTATTTTGACATATAAAATTCTAAAGCTCCGTTCATTTTACCGATTCGAGTTCAGAATTCAAGTTTTATTATAGTAAAAAATTCTCAAAAACACTCACATCTAATTTTTTTACTACAGTAAAAAGTTCTCACATAAAATCACATTTCAATTCAAATTAAAAACTCGAATCAACGAACTAAACAGTCCCTAAGAATACCCCTTACTCAAAAATGATAATATCATAATTTCATAATTCAAAACAGAGAATTTGACCGACAAGCAATATAGATTAAACATAAACGAACAATACAGAGATGCAAAATTGCAACAGTTCAAAATGCATTACATAATTTTTTTTTATTAGTAAGATAAAAAAAAATAAATTATCTTTAATTATTTAATTTTTAATATGATATAATTTTAATTAAATTTAACGCTCACAAATTAAAATTATGAGTACAGAGGCCTACAGAGAAAGAAAGTGTTTATTAACATTAAAATGCGTGGCATAAGAATTATAACGATCCTTTTCGAAAACCACATAAACGTGCTTACCCACAAAAAACCAGAAAATGAATATATCCAACAGAACAACACAATCAACTGAAATGAAATGACATGAGTAGTTAAAATGTCTCGTTCATTTTATTATTTGAGTTTAAAATTTGAGTTTTATTATAATAAAAAATTTTAAAAATAATTATATTTAATATTTTTATTATAATAAAAAAATTTTATATAAAATTATATTTAAATTTAAAAGTAAAAATTCAAAGGGTTAGTTGAGAGATTCGTATCCCAATTTGAATCATAATTCATAATTTATTACTGTATTTTTAATACACATAAATTAAAAATGATTCTAATCTTATAATTATAATCTATGAATTAAATTAATTTAATTTTTAATTTTTTTGGTTGGGACCCACCTCAACATTATTTTCGGTGGGTAGGGGTCGGGGCCTTAAAAGAGTAGAGAGAGAGAGAGAGAGTAGATAGTAGGCTTTAAGATGAAGTCAGTGAAGGACCAAGGACCAAGTTTTTTTTGAGTGAGTCATATCCAAGGGGTTGGTTGTGTCCATATTCAGAGACCCACAGGCCAGTCTCACAGTTTGGGCCCCATCGCCAATAACTCTTTCGCCAGGGGGGCTGATTTCGAGTGACTGCCGGGTGGCAAGGCCACAATTGTGCTTCCTGTCTGAATCCAGGGAACTCCCAAGAAAAAAAAAAAAAAAAAAAAACCTTATTTTATATGTCCATAATTTGCAAGGATTCTTTTGATTCTTCTCCAAAACAAACAAACAAAAAAAAAAAACCCATAATAATTTTGATCTGTTAAGAAGAGGTTTTTATTAAACTTTGTTTCATATAAATGTACCGTTCATTTTAAATAGTATTTTAATAAATATAAAGCTGTAAAAGTACACGCTACTAAATATCTTATTACGGATCCGTTTTGATTGGTTTAGAAAAAGTTGTTTTTGGTTTATTTTTATTTTTCTGTAATTCTTATATATACGTGAGTGTTCACATAAAATTTTACATAGCGTCAACATAGAATTGTTTTTTTATCGTAAATCAAATTGCTAAATATTTATTAAACAGGTAAAATAATAATTCTTATAGATGAGATAACGGTAAAAATTCTCATTTTATACTATATAAAAGTTCGACGATAGGGTGTGAAAAAATACCGTAAAAAAGTATAGCCACCGTAATATCATCAAATATCATTAAGTTGATACTGTACAAGATTGGAATATCCCATCGGAGTTCCATGTTACAGGACAGTTAACATTTTGTATTTTGTATGACTTTTCCGATCGTGCAACTGCAATATGTAGTTATATAAAACTTATTTATAGTGCTATTCTTTAGTGAATTCTCTCTTTTCCTAATCATTCATTAATAATAAAGACATTGCAAAACCACTAAAAATTTTTGGCCTCGTTCATTTCACCATTCGAGTTTTCAGTTTTAAGTTTCTACAGTAAAAATTTCTCAGAAAATGTCACATCTAACTTTTTATACTACAGTGAAAAACTCTTAAAAATTGTCACATCTCAACTCGAATCCACGAAAGCTCTCAGAAAATATCACATCTAACTTTTTATGCTACAGTAAAAAACTCTCAAAAAATATCACATCTCAATTCAAATTGAAAATTTAAATCACGAGACCATCTTATCTCATTCCTCCTATTTTCCTCTGTAACATTTAACATTTAATAGCTAGAAGTTTCCCCGCCATAATTGACTAGCTTTGTCCTCAGTGCCTTCTGTGATAACCCGCTCAAATCCTCATATTAGCTTTAGCCCATGCTAATATTATTAGTACTGTTTTTGACTAGTCACCTACGAAGAATCTATCCACTTCCAGAAAATCCTACAGGAGATATTATTGGGGCTAATTCAATAATGCATTTCTTTAGTCCTATGAGCTAATCAGTCTAACATATAGCACAGATAGAAGCCAGAAAAAAAAAACCAGTTGGATATTATATAATTAAAGAGATTTAACACTTTCAAATTTTACATCATAACTCATTAGAAAATAAAGAAAGAAGTATTGCTAACCCAACAACTATTCCACATGAGTCAAACTGGCTAGTATCCATTCAAATAGGGATTGGATAAGCCATGTCTTTAGTTCTGTAATTTAAGCAACAACAAAAAAAGGGCATAAAATGAAGTTTTGAAAAAAATACAAATACAAATACAAACAAAAACAAAGATCAGAATATTATTCCAAGCTTCCCAATCTCCTCCTTCGCTTTGCCTGGATTAGTAGCTTAGTAGTTGGGCATTACAGAGATGGGACTGAGGAAGTAGCTAGAGTTGAACCAAGAACATCATCATATACACTAACCCCATCAATGTTCTTTTTGTTATCTGCTCTTGGACTGCTTTCTGAGCTGCTGTTTGAGAGAGAACAGAATGTTGACTTCTGCAAAACACCTGTTGGGGAAGAACCCACCTGGGGGCTTCCATCCCAACCTTCTGTCAAGAGGTTAAGCGAAGACGGGCTTTTGTAGGCCTTCACATTCCCCGTTGTATTCGTCAAGACTTCTCCTAACGGACCCCCCATCGAACAATTTGAGCCGCCGGCCCAAGATACCGGCACCCAGCTGGTTTGCTTTCGTGCAGCTGCTTCCCCAAGGTCATTGCTCACCCCGAGATTCATCTGCATTGGCTCGATCTCGCGAGATAGCCTTAGAGGCGAGAGGGCGAGTTTTTCTTGCTTGGGTGAGTTTGAGGAGGATGAGAAGTCAGAGGTTGTTACAGGGATTGACATCGAGAGATTGGTCCAGTCCGATTTCATCTCTTCCGGCCAAGCAATGACCGATTGGTCGGAGTTGTCCTTGGGCCAGTCGTCGATGAAATGGCGGAGCGGGTGCTGGTCTTGGGTTTCCTGGCCACTGAAATCAAGGAAAGAAGAAGTATCATAGTTTTTGGAGTCCATGTAAGAGCTCTCTTGTGAGGGGTTAAGTAGTGAATCGGTAGAGACAAGCCCAAACTCCAAATGAGAGGATCCTCCGGGTACAATTTCTTGTTTCAGAATGTTAAAAGTGGAGTCATTAGATTTCAGATTAACATTTGAAGAAGACATCACGGATAGGCCCCTTAAGTCTTGCATTCTGCAAAGTCACCATTCACTTTGCTTAGAAAATGGCCAAGAATGAGTACAAAAGCTTGAAAGAGAAGAAATCATACAGTATAAGAAGAATTATGTCCCTACCGGTAGAACATAGTTTTAAACTGTCAGATCAAATCCATTACAGTTCAAAATCGACGTATCAAATTTGAACCATATCAAATTAAATAAAATATAACAATTTACTGCGATCTAGGGAAGATCTGACGTTAAAAACAAGGATCAATAAGAATAAGATCAACTTCAAGCCTCTATAAATAATTGCATATAATGCAAACCAAAAGCATGCACTTGAAAATCAACCGGAGAAATTGGGAAACAGCCTCTTGGAGAGGAATCCAAAGTCCAGCTGTTAAGACTAGTCACTTTCACCAAAGTAAAAAAGATGAAATGATGGGGTCTACAGTCTACCATAAAGTAAAGGGAAAGTTACCATAAGCATCCAACCAATTCTAAAGATATTAATATCATATTATAATCCTTTATATGTCCTAATCAAAAACCCAAAAAACAGATTAAGAGAAAGAAAAAAAAAAACAAGAACACGTTCTTTATAATCTCACCTGTTGACAAGAGCAGCATCTGTAGAACTAGCAGCCGCACCAGACTGCAAGCCCTTGAACTGGTGCTGCGTGATGGTGGCGAGGCTGTTGGATGCGCCGCTAATGGGCATTGCCGACGACATCGCCGCCGTCGTTGAGACGGAGGAGGTCATCGGCGGCACCGCCTTTGAGGTGGCAGCGGCCCCAGAGGCGGCATGGCCGGTCTGGCCTTCCACAGGCTTTCTTGAACGATGGCGGCCCCTGTTAATGTGCCTCTCACAGTACTTCTGGTCGGCAACAGCGTCCCTCGAGCACCGCCATTTCTTCCCATCGGTCCGGCGACACCGCCCCGGCTCGGGGTCGGTGTTGTCCGCGTAACCCAGATGGAAAGAGCCCCACCCTACTGCCACGGGACATTGCAGAATTAAAAAAACAGAGAGAACACCAGAAACAGAACCACATTATATAGAGACACTATCAAAAACTGCAGACACACCTCATAACAAACTTTATGAGAAAGCTAACACAAAAAGGAATGTAAGAAAATAAGACTGGAACAAATGTACATTCATTTATTTATTTTGTTTGTTCATCAAAAACATGTACTTGAAAAAAAAAAAAAAAAAAAAAGCTTACATGAATTGGGAGGCAAAGGAGCAGAAGATGAACCGGAAAGGGAATAAGGATTGAGGGATTTCTTGAGGGGAATGAGCAAATTGGATGGGACAGGGACATTTGAAGTGATGTACTTGTAGATCAAGGCTTGGTGCTCTAGCTCAATCCACTGAGACGGAGTGAATGGTCCTCTAATTCCAGTATAAGGCACATGCATGCTTGTATTCAAGCTTCCAGAACCATAACCTGAAAAAAATAAAATAAAAATCCTTATCAAAACGCATTACCTTATCTTTGATAATATCCTAGCACACCGTTTTCCCCCACGGTTTTTGTATCTATCTAGAAGGGGCTAAAAATGAAAAAATTTACTAAAAACTGAATACAAGATTTGTGTTAGAATGAGGAAGTTCCACTTTTTTCTTTCTCGACGGGACTAAAAAGACCTGGAAATTTTCAACTAAAGTACCCATGAAAGGACTCCCTCACCACTTACATGGAAACACATCCACTTACATTATTAGCATACCGAAACCGTACATTTCTCATAAAAACATGCTTAAATCTCTCCTCTCCTCAAATCTCTCACGCAGACCCAAAAAAAAAAAAAAAAAAAAAAAAAAAAACCGCATCTCTGAAATCCCATTACCATCCCAAAAAAAAACCTCCGCACATTAACTCTAACCAACCCACCACACTTTAAAAAAAATAAAATAAAATAAAATAAAATAAAAAACTATCTACTTACCAGCAGCATTTCTAGAGTAAATAGGGGTCATTCTTTGGTAATAAGGAAAAGCCAAACCGGCACCATCTTTGCCCAAAAACGGATTTTCCGGTTTCTGAGAAGAAAAGCTAAGCATATGCTCTTGTTGGTGGCGAACATGATCAGCAGAGAGCAACAAAGGATTAGATCTCATAAGAGGATTATTAACATTTGTCCCTTGAGAAAACGGCATTGCCCTGTAGGCCGATGATGACAAATCCACAGTTTTGGCAACTTTTGAGCTCCTCCACTCATCTTCTTCAAGCCCGGGCCTCTCTTGCTTCACAAACCCAGATCCAACACCCTTTTGTTGATGCTGCTGCTGCTGCTGCTTTGCCTCAGAAGAAGAAGCTGATCCACCTTCAGGATTCGTGGGACCCACCAAACTCTCCAAGCTCACCAAGCTAAAATCCATTTTGGACTACAAGACTTGTGCAAAGCACGAGTTCATGAGGAGGACCGAGAGAGAGATGAACCTCTCAGATGGTTAGAGAGAGAGAGAGAGAGAGAGAAGCACATCTGAAGGGTGGGTTTTTGTATATACTTCAAAGAACTGATTTTTTTTTTCTTTCTTTTTCTTTTTTTCCTTTGTAAAGGGGTTGTCTTTGAGAACTAGTAAAAAAATAATTGGCCGAGAGAGGAGGAGGAGAGAGAAATTAGTTGAAAATGAGGAGAGCAGACAAAGCTAGTAGAGTAGTAGTAGTACTAAACACACACACACGGCTTCTCAAGACATGCTAACACTAGACAAGTTTATTTGTGTTTTTTTTTTTTTTTTTTTTTTCCTCCTTTCAATTGTGTGTAAATGAAATTTTTTGTGAACTATTTATAGACTATTTTTCGGAGGAGAAAGCTAAATTTACTAAAATCTCCTTGGCCCCCCGTTTTGATAAGATCTTATGTTCCGTCACTAAAATCTATTTCAGCTTTATTGATAGATTTTCTTTTTATATGGACTTTGAGGTATTGGGACACCAATTTACTATTGTCTCCCTAGCATAAATGAATAATTACCAGCATGAGGGAGCTAGGGCAAGTGTTTTTTTTTTTTTTTTTTTTTGGATTTAAATAGGATTTCTTTGGTGCCTCCCCAATAATAATCTTTCTTTTTGTAAAGACTTGTATCATAACAGCTAGTTTTATTAAAATATAAATTTTAACGTTCTAAAATAGAAATACTATCGAGATCTTTACAAATGTCTATATCGGTACTTTTATGTTCCTCATTTTTAATGCGGTTGTCGTTTTAATAAACGCTAAAGAAAGAGTAAAAATTGGTCCAAAATAGAAACAAACACATGGAAATACAACGTTAATCATAATTTTAAGATGCCTAAAAAATTTTTTACTCTGAGACAGCTCACATTTAATTAAATAACAAAAATCAAAATGTTGCGAATAAAGTAACTGCATATCCAACGTTATTTTGGATGTACCTATATAAAAGTTGAGTAACAATGTTTTACTAGAATCTATTACGTCAACTGTCAACTAACATGTCAAGGAATTCGGAATTTCACCCAAAATATCATCGCTCATGTCGTCGTTAAAGCCTTTTCGTCGCTAGAAAATGAGAATATTCTTGATTATGTTAAGGATATTATGGCTAATAATCATTAATAATAACTTTTCTTTTTTGTCATTGCTAAAAATTATTCTGCGAAGAAACCTTTAGTAATGACTTCTCATCCCTAAATGCGAGGCAGGAAAAAAAAATAAAAAGAAGAAGAAAAAGATACATAAGGTAGGAAAAGGACTTTCCCACAAATCTTCTATCAATAGCAAAAGAATTTAAATTTCATTCACTTGTTATTCTGTGTGTGTGCTTTTTTTTTTTGAAACAACATATAGCAATACATGTGTCATCGTGAAATGAGCTTATGCAATGCGGTTAATACAATTTTGAGTACGTTTGTTTCACAATTGAAATTAAAAACTTAAATTATTTATGTGAGAATAAAATATTATAATAAAAACGTTGAATTTAAATTTTTATGAAAAAAAATAATATAAAACTTAAGTTGTGAAAACAATAAAGTCTTTTCACATCTTCTAAAATTTAAGTTGCGAAAACAATAAAACCTTTTCACTGTCTTCTAGAACTTAAGTTGCCAAAACAACAAAGTCTTTTCACGTCTTTATTGGTACAATGTTGTTTAGTGTTTCATTTTGCAACAAATTTTCTGCTTCAACAATGATTTATGTCACCGCTATCTCTAGACTCGAGACCATGCATCTCCTTCTTCTCATTTTAGTTTTTTCCCATCTCAATCTCTCGCTTTCTACTATTGCCAATTGACATGATTGTCACTATCGTACGTCATTGGACACATTAACTTATCTTTTCAATTGTTACGATTCTAAGTTGTACTCAACTAATATGTTAAATTGTTTTTTTTTTTATGCAATGTTTGTTTTCTTTTAGTGCTTAATTTTATAAAATGTAAATTTACTTAATTAAATTTAATTAGAAATCATGGTAAAAAAAATTAATTAAATTATTCATGTAAATGTAATAGAATAAGTCGAATACTAAATATATCAAAATTTGATTAATTAAATCCAATAAAAATGTATTTTAAAAAACAAAACATTTAGAGTTGACATTTCAATGTTGTAGCTAAAGATTGAGCAAAAAAATCATTTAACGACGATCTTTGCTAAAATGTCATCATTAATTTTGTCATGTGACATGAATTGCAATTAAACGATGATTATTCACAGTTCAAAAATGAGGAATGTCATGGTAAAAATTTTAGAATGAATTTCAATTTTATATTCTGTTACATTTAAGAAATACTCGTTCCTTAAAAAAAAATTATGCACAATTGTACAATCATTTTTTCTAACTTTGAATACAATTTTATCAATCTTGAGAGATTATTTGTTACTTATATGTTTTGCTGAATTCATTAGAAATACAATTAAAAGAGGATTTCTACATCCAATAAATTGTTAGAAATTAATGTTTCTACTTTTGTTATCATATGCACTTGCTCTCAACTTATTTGTCATATACTTGTATCGATACGCACGTATACATGTGTGTATATGTATATATAAATATACACATACACATTCATATACATAAATATACATACAAAATTTACAATTTCTAATGTGGGGGAGGTTCTATGCCATGTACAACTTTTTTTTTTTTTGTCTTAAAATAAAAGGGAGTAGGGTAGGCATACCTGTATGCTACCAAATTACAATATGTGTAGTGATCAATGATCAATTATCATTAAGAAACAATTATTTTTCAATTATCAATAATCATTAAAAAGCAATTATGTTTGTTTTTAGTTTTTTAATCGTGTACAATGAGGGGGCAAAAATGGTAGAATAATGCTAATTGAAGTATCTTTACCGAGATAGAAACAGGCGCTTAAATTAAGTTAGTATTATATTTTCAAAAAAAATAGTATTGTATATTGGCATAGGAACGTCATTTTCTTTCATTGTTTGGACAAAGATAGTCATATGCACATCTGCAAATTCCAAAACAAATCCCACATCACGTGACAAACTTGAATGGCAAACAACAAATACTAAGAACTCGATCCAAAATAATTTTATTTTTCGTATGAAAATGAAAATATTTTTAATCTCATACATAAATTATTTTTAAAAATGTGATTGGTGATTTTATTAAGAAATTATTTTCAGTGTAAAAAAAACCTATTAATGTCTCTCTTTTTCTCTCTCTACTCGAGAGATGAGAAAACGAAAACAAAAAATGAAAAACGACTAAAAGTCATTTTTCATTTCTCTCTTATTTTACACTAAACTAAAAAATCGTTTTCATTTTCATTTTTTGTCTTTATTGTGCCAAACGCCATTTTAAAAACATTTTCATTTTTTCTTTCTTGAAAAATGAGATCAATTCCAAACACAGCCTAAGCTTTTTCAACCAAAAAAAGAAAAAAAAATATACGCTGAACTTCAAGGCGCATTAGAAAAATGCCCCTTTTAAGATATGATATTTAAATACATCATTTGCACAATTAACTTCACCCCACTAAGCTGATTCATATATGATTCCCTTTTTTTTCTTTTTTTCGTTTTTAAAAAAAAAGGTTGCAAAAGGGCATAAAAGTCCACACAAATATAAAGTCCTCGATTTGAAATTTGGATGGATTATATGGTTGTGGAAACTTGGATTTTTATGGGGTTGTTTGTCCTGTAGCAGAACCGCATTGTGGTAATTATAATCTTTGGCCTACACCGAGCGCTGGCGGTTTCGCTTATAAGGCGAAAGAGGGCATTTTTCTCTCTTACTATCTGTCACTACTCACAAATGGTGTGTGTGGGGTTGCATGGAAAAACAAGTTTTGCCACGTGACCCTTTACACTCATAACACTACTCTCCCCTTTGTGCCACCTTCTCTCCATGCATTTAATTAGTTGCCACTTTCTCTTCCTCAAATTTCTTTCGAAGAACAAATTTGTTTTGTGTACTACTACTTATCTCATTTAGATTTGGATTATTAGGGTTATATGAGTTTCGATCACTACTAGTATACTTTCAGTTTCTCTTGTGGCTTCAAAACAAGCACCTAAAAAAATCTGTTTACTTTTACTCAAAGATAACGCCAACATATACATATTTACTGTGGGTGGAATTAGCTATAAAAGAATATAAACTAGTATTGTCTTGTGAATAGTTAAAAAAACCACTTTTGGGATAGTGCATAATGTGTGCGTGTGTATATATATATACACACACATATATATATACGAGATATTTTTTCCGTTAGAAAAGAGAAGGTAGCTAGCCATGCAGAGCCTAGTTTAACACGTGTGTTACCTTTGTTATTTTAAGTGCTTAACAACAAAAACAACTCTTATAGAGAGCACTAAACTGCTTGTTAAAGTTTTCAAACTTATCACCAGAAGACAACTCTTATATATATACATATATATATATATATATATATATAGAGAGAGAGAGAGAGAGAGAGAGAGAGAGAACAAATTACCTCTTGTGTAGTCTTTACAGACAGTTGGTGCGCATGCAACAAGAAGGTTATTAATGACAGCAAAGAGGGGGGTCTTAATTTTTAGCTGGTTAATTAAGGCAAATACAGTAAAACCAAGCTCATTTATATCCTTACTAGGGGTAAAACGGAACTAATTAATTCACACAACAACTAGATATTATGAGAAAGAAACTTGTTTGGACCTTTTATATTTGGTATTTATTTAGCAGCAATTAAATTTGTTTTCATATTTGTTTAACATTTTAAGTAAATTTTTTGCCTTGAAATTAAAATATTAATGCCGTCAATAACTTACCCCATATTAATACTTATAACTACTAAATGACACATAGGCGAAAGGATAATGACAACAAACAAATGTGCCTAGCTAGTTTACGAGACTAAAACTAATTGGCACACAAAAAGATAGTCATCAAATCTATTTTCTAAAAGTTATTTGGTATTACATCTTTACAATATTAGTGTTATATTGAATAAATGTTATATTACGTTTCTCATTTTTATATGTCACGTGGAATTACAATTCTCTTAAAATGATTGTCGACAAACATGTGCGTGTGAATATATATAATTATATAGACACTTATTTGTAAACAAGGTTTTTTTATTACAAATAACGATTTTTTTAGGGTAAAAAAATAAACCAAAAATAATTATCTAAGCTTTAAAATTTTTCTAGGACCAACTATTTTTTTTTTTCCCAAATCTGTCGGTCAATTGACTTGATAAACTAATTAACAAACATAAGATGGTAACAATACTATCACTTAATAATTA